GCGGACAGTACCTTTCGGGCACGTCGTACATGCTTGTTTCACCTATGTAACCTTACGTTTTGCTTTTGCTTTCGCTTTCACGTCCCGGCACACGTTGCTGTTGTGGTAGGAAAACCAGACCAAAGCAGAACAAAACAAATGCTGTTCGAAAGTACTGAACTACCGCACACTCTTGAGGTTCCAGTTATGCGGCCAAGCAGGACAAGAGCCATGGGTGGTTGACCGCCTCCTCCGCCACTCCATTCGTTGCCAGGGAGAGTCTGAGATGTGGTCAATGAGAGCGATTTACTATCCAACATACCCAATAACCGCGCCGTCGATATTAATGGCGCATACAGAACAATAATACATACACGTACACAATTGGGAAATTGGGGCTCGCGAACACTATGCATGACCATGAAGCGTTCGCATCGGATGCGGGTAGCATACTTAAGACTCCTTTTTTGTGCGTGTTACCCTCGTTACAGCGACCTGTGCAAAAAGGACTGAGACACAACCGTTTCCCGTTTGCCTGCTGTCCAGTCAGCAAGTGCAATGAGCGCGGGGGCCGGAAGGTGAAAAGCTGGAAGGTACGCACAACAAGTTTGTCCGCCCAACGAACCCCCATACCCCACCTCTAGAATTTGGGACGAAGGCCAATCACCGATCGTAGTACGTGTGCCGGTACTTTGTTCCAAGCAAAAGTCGTTCATGCGGGTCAGCTCTCCTGGAGCGGACATTAGGATTGACTGGGTACTCAATTTTTTGGTTATGTCCAATCGACGAAACAAAAAAAGTTTTGAGTGCCATTTTAGCATCCGCTGGCGGCATGGATCATGCGCAATTGCAAGCCAGCGGGGAAGGAGGGATGACAGCGGACGCCGGGTACGGGAGGAGAACGTGAGGACAGGTATGTCGTCCCTGCCGCCCCAAGGTCCCATGCGACGCAATCAAAAGAGGTCACCGATAGCCAAAGATATCGAATGCGTATTGGGATTTACTTTCTTTTGGATTCCCTTCGTTCTCCATGGCTAAAAAAAAGGTCCTGCTAATCCAGAAGTCGCCGAGCAATGAACCCAAAAGCGTGAACCATTTGCTCCGGGTCGCTGATGCTGTGGCTTCACATTTTGTTCATTCCGTTCCCGTCTGGGTGCCCATTGTTTTTGTGAACCAGTAAAAGAATCCAACCGCACCTCCTCTATACAGATACTCGCCGTGTACAGAGGTGTGCAGGAGCGAGATTGCAAGCGCCTTGCTGATGTAGACGTCTGAAACAAAACTCACCGCTTGCATAGCAGCATATATTGCACCCACGTCCGTGCGTGCCATTCCGCCATTCCACACAACGGATATGTCATTTATTCCCAGAAGAGCAGGTACAGAGCGCGAGCTGACCTAAACCATGTGCTCGGTTAACCCGCCTGGTCTTTATTGTGGTGGGGCGGAACAGTATTGAGCAAGTACAGGCGTATGGGTATTGGTTCCACCGCGAAATACGAAATGAAAACCGGCGCAAAGTTCGTGGCTTGTCCCTCAGAGATGTGGTCCTGAACTACGCTCAAAAGCAAAAGTCTTTTGCCAGTGTTGGTTCGCTTGCAAGGGAAAATGCGATTAATTGTGGTGCCGCCACCAAAAAACAAAAGAAACTAGAAGCGCTAAGGTATATACCCCGCGGGTTTGGGGGAGGGAGGGGACGATGACCGATGCCGTGTTCAGAAGAGCGAGGGTCCCTTTCCGTCCTCCAAAATTGCGGTTCTTCAAAGTGAGCCGTCAAGGCTGCATTATTTTCATCGTCAGCATTGGAGACAGACCGAAATTCAAAAAAGGCGAAAAATCAAAGGTAATAGCGAGAATCAGAAAAGGAAAAAATGTCGGCGGGATTTGGATTACGCAGAGCCTTGTCTGAAACCTGCCAGCCGCCGATATGCCAATTTTTGGCCAGAAAAAAACACCCAAAGCACGAGCCAGACTAACCATATGCCTCCGTCAATTCTGTCTTTTATTGTGGAGGCAAGGGGATCGCGCAAGGACATGGACATTGGTTCCAACTGACCTAAGGAAATAACCAGTGAAACGTTTGTTGCTGTCCATCAGGCTCGCTCCCTCAACCGAACAACGAGGGTATTTGAAATATGAAATCCGTTGTGGCCCAAGCCAGACATCGTGGAGAACCGGAAACAGATTCACAAAAAAGGTGATATATTGAAGAAGGATGCGCAGTCGGCGGTATCCAGCGGTATCCACAACCCCATTCTCACGATCCCGAAGACGAAGGAGATCTCAGCGGCAAACGTCTAAACGTCCTGTCGGATTCAAATGATTCCGCCGTAAGCACCGGAGGGATACAACTGCTGTGCAGTATGCGAGTATCTTCCTCGCGAAACGGCCCTTGTCGCGTCATCAGATGCAAACAAGCACACAGCTGACCCTGCGTCCGTGACTTCAGTCGCTCGCACATTTTGGCTTTCACTCTCCCATCGCATTTCCAAAAGTTTTTCCATATCGCCATGAGCTCCACAAAAAATTGGGTCGAAGAAACATTCGAGTGGACCATCAAAGACTACGAGCGAGCCCGCATTCAGGATGTGGACGTGAAAGGGAAACTGGCTTCCCCCATTTTCGGACCCCCGGAACAGCCTTGGCGGTTGCGGCTACTGACCAAGCCATTGGAGAGAATTTTACAACCCATTTGGGCCTCTTTTTGGACTCTGTTAAATCCCCGGAGGAGGAGCAAGCCAAAGGTTGCAGGCGCAATCTGGATACGGTTGAGTTGGGAGTCCAAGGCTTCTATGGTATCCATGGTGTTCGCAACATAACTGGAGACGGCGGCGGCGATAATCAGGGATGGGGGGTAGGCATTCTGAATGCAGTGAGAAGGGATAAAGTCTGCGAGTGTTTACAAGAGGATGGAAGTCTGGTGATCACGTGCAAATTGAAGTATGAGCGTCTTCCTCGACATCGGTTTGCGCGTTCATCAATGGGTCCCTCGCTCCTGTTTGCCGAGGATTTGTCCGACATCAAAATCATGGCCATGGATGGGGTTTCCATCCCCGCACACAGAGCCTTCCTACACGCCTCCGCGTACTTTCGGGCTCATGCCAGCTTCAGCAGCAACCAGGGTACTCCTGGCAACCAACTTAACAGCGATTTCTCATCGCTCACCATCCGGTCAATGCTTGAGTTCCTCTACACGGGCTCCCTGATCACCCATGCACCACAATCGTCCAGCGAACGCCGCGACCTGATTCGCCTTGCTGACATGTACCAAATCCCCAACCTGCATGCCGTGGTGGCAGAATCAATCGTGGCCAACGATTTGAACGAGAAGAACGCCCGGGAACTCCTCGTATTTGCTCACAAGCATGGCGGGAGCTCAGGGTGCGGTCTGCTGCGAGATGCGTGTGTGGTGATGGTACGGAGCAATTTGAAAACGTACGCTTTGGAGAAGGGGTTTGCGGAGTGGATCATGGGGTTGGATCCTGATTTGGTGAAACCTTTGTATGCGAATGAGGGCGGGGACGTAGCGGGACATGGAGGCGATTCGAAATGACGGAAAACTGGGGAGCAGCGTGTGCGGGGCGGCCATACGGAATCGCATGGTGAATTAGGCGAAACCTGCGGGGTAAAACCAGAGATGCGGATTGACGGGGCGAGGAGGTGTTGCAAAGACGAATGGAATTGCGTTTGTGCCTCCTATCAAATTTGTATGTTTTGCTACTTTGCGAAGAAATATTTTGTGCGGCCTCCCTGTACAATTTTCTGAGCTTTTCTGACGGCTCGCCCATCAAAATCGCCGACTGCGCGCGCAGGGATACCATGGTCATCGACAGATCAGTTGTGATGGTGTTCATTGGCAGTATACTAGCTGCTGCCGCATGCAATTCATGCCAAAAACGGGGCTGGAATAAGTATGAGCACGAGCGCATTTAGAGTCGCCAGTACATACATTCCACTTCTTCGTCGCTCAAAAGGGAGGGGCACTTTCTCCGAAACAACGTCGCAATTTGCACCCGCTCTCAACTACTATAGTACGTATTGGCGACAATACAGCACTCCACATGCTCCATGTGATGGTAGCCCACTTGGTAAATAACTTTCTTTGTGCGGGGGACAAATAGGATCCGGGTAAGAGAGGCAGTCTATGGTATGCAAGGTTCATTGGCATAGTGGATCGCCCGAGATGAAGGGAAATATCTGGATAGGTTGTTCACAATCCAAGAGTTTCGCTGCTTTGTTCCATGTTCCCTATCAAGGGTTAAATCGCGCTGACTTTTTGTGTGATGGGTGTGGAAAAAGCGACGGAACGTCTTGACTGATTCGCGCGACGCGTCCATCAAAATGAAACGCCCTCGAAAACCCAGATCAGTCGTCCTTTACCATTGAGTGCCTGATTGATTTCCCAACGTTAACTGCGTCGTCAGGCTGTCCTCTTCAAATGATACGTTGAGAACCATGCCGCCACACCCACGACGACGCATCAAATGAGATCACAAGAGACTTTGCATAGTTCTCGTCGCGGCGGTACCGGAAGACATGATACCAACAACGCTCGGCAAACAAAACAAAACCCAAAAAGCACGTTCAACACTTCCATTCGTCCGGGTCTAAACGACCAACAATAGTGATATTAACCACACCAGCACCGCAGAGCAAGCCAAACGGGCGTCGGCGCACCAGATTGCCCCGTTTTGTTCCCATAACCCGACACATCGAGGGACTTGAGTCTCTGGACACCAATGCAGCTCTACCATACCCAGTCAATGTGTCGCTGTTGGAGCAGCAGGGTACTTACAGCCAACCACAGGATGCTGTCGTTTCTTTTCCGTTGGGTCAATCTTCAAGGAAGTTGCTTTTATACCCGCGTCGCGATTTAAGCTCAGGTTGCACAAGTGTGTGTAATGGCCTTCCTAAAGAGGTAAGGATTGGGTGTAACGACCATCCTAAAAAGGAGAAAACTGCTGAAAATTGCTTTCATGCTTATATGCCGCACGCGCTTCACCGAATAATAAGAAAAAATAGCTCGATTAGCTCAGCTGGTTAGAGCGTGGTGCTAATAATCGGCTCAGTCACTGTGCTAAATTTGATACGCCAAGGTCACAGGTTCGATCCCTGTATCGAGCAATTATTTTTCAATGCAAATTTTTTTTCCCTGTATGGAGCGTTCAATTTTGAATGCTAGATAAGTGCGAAGTGTTTTAACCTTCCTGTATGGAGCAATTTTGAATGTCCAGTGCGAAACGGAAGGAGAGGAGGGACGGGTTAAAAAAAAGGACGGAGGTAGGGAGGGGTCTGGAGCCGTGGCGGCCAATTGATGTAGAGTCTTGCCAATATTATTTGTCACATAGTCTTTAGTAGTCTTCACGATGTCTATTACAATAGACTAGGTACTTTATCAAAACTTAAAAATGCAGGGAAAGAAGTCGGATGCCACAAATGGTTGATATTTATGGTCTTCGTCCAACGAACGGTGTTCGGGAAAGTCCCGTTCCCAACCTTACAATATCCCCCTCTCCACCAACTTCCTCACAACCGCCTCAGCAATCCTATCCACATGCTCCCCCGCCTGCCGTTCCACCTCCCCCTTCAGTAACCCGTCAACC